TTAAATAGGATTGGAGGTTTGTTGCACCCGAAAAAATGCGACGCAGACGGCATGCGAGCAGAGGTCCCGGCCTTTGTAGCGAGAATCGAACGAGGAGTCGTCACTAAGATTTTGAGGGAAATCTCGGAAAATCGATTAATAGAGGATAACGGTGGTCTGCAAAATTAGAGAATAGGTTCGGGAGTCAGTTGAGCGTGGGGAAGGTGTTAGGCACCCCACAACACCCATTCGTCAGAACGGTTACCTGAAGTTCGTTGTGCTCTATTAATATAGTTTTATAATTATTTTAATTATCCCTTTTATATTCATGTGTTTGATATAAAAATGATAAGAATTAGGTAATAAATGTTTATTTATTTATGAAGGAGGACAAACTTGACTCAGAATCTGACTCTGAGGCCTACGTACCCTGTGATGGGGATCAAAGTCCACGTAGTTCGAGCTTGAAAATTTGTTGGTGAAAATATTTTTTTGAAAAGAAATTAATTAGAAATAACTCACCATTTTGCAAATAAAACAATTTCTAAAATTTTGATATGTGTGTTTTAAATTGCAAAAAGTGATTTAATTTTAACTATTTTCTCAATTTTGAATTTTTGGAATAAAGATAGAAAAGGGTTTAAAATAATTTTCCTTTATGTTTTATGATTGAGAATTTTAATCACAGTACTTGCAGAACCTTATTAGTTCATACGATAATGCAATTGCTCTAAATATCTGCGGAGATTTTAAAATCTCACACGATAAAAGAGTTTGGCAATTTAATTTATTTATATTTTTAAGTGTTAGTAATAATTTATTTAAACATGTATGTACATGTTTTGAAGAATTTTAATCATCATACCTACAAAGCCTTATTGGCTTATATGGTAATATGATTATCCTAAATATCTGCGAAGATTCTAAAATCTCACACGATAAAGGAATTAAATTTAAATACGTCTTTTAATTTAATTAATTTAATATATAATTTATATGTATATATTTTAAAAACTTAATCGTTATATCTGCAGAGTCTTATTGACTCACACGATAATACAATTATCTTAAAAGTCTATGGAGATTCAAAAATCTCAGATGACCACAAGATATAATTGGTAAATATGATTGCATTAATTTGGTTAATTAATCTCTTATATCATATGATTATTTACAAAAATAATTTATTTATTATAAAATTGAGAATCATTGTATCTGCAATAACTTATTATCCCACACGATAATGTGATTAATTTAAGTCCCTACGAAGATTCTTGAAATCTCACATGGAACTTAAATGGATTATTTAGATTATAAAAAGAGAGTTAATTTTTAATATATATGTTTTTCTCTCATATCTACGAAATCTTATTAATTTACACAACATGAAATCATTTTAAATGGCTGCAAAAATTTTTAAAATTTCTCCCGACAAATAAGTAACAAAAAAATATATATTCTCTTATTTTTATTGGACTATAAAGTTTGAAATACCTAAAAATGAAACTCCCATATAGTGATGACATAATGAGCTTGCAAATGGATAAAGAAAGTAGAGAATCATGTTGAAATATTATGAATGGATAAAAGGCTTCTCTTGGTATAAGGATCAAAGCCAAGTCACAACTTATCTACATGTCCTTTCATGCTAAAACATATTTTAAAATTCAATTTCAAAAACCCAACCTAACAATCACAACAATTTTCCTTCCTTGTTTGAGACAAAATCGTGGAAGGAATATATCCAAAAATCAGTTCTAACAAATTATGATCACAAACACAAAATGTTATTGTGAGTCCTTTTTTCTTTTTTCTTTTTTTTTTCCTTTCAAAACCACTATCACATCAACTTCTTTACCGTCCTTGGTCAAAACATGATAGGAATATACCAAAAATCAATTCGAACTAACCAGTATAGCAGGTAATATCTTTATCTAGAATCTCTTTGCAATTTCTGCATAGTGTCAAATCGTTCAACATCGATGAAGCCCCAGATTCAAACGAATGGTTGAACTGAACCAGCCTCCATCATTTGTGTGTCACCCCCTTCTCCCTCAATCGTGCCTTCTTCCTCGGTCTCGGTCTCTGTTCAAACCCCTTAACAACGTCTGAAGCAAAGTGATAGGTCCTCCCTTCGTTTTCGTCCGGTTTGAGTGGTGCCACTATGCTCTGTTTTTCTTTCTTCTATTTCTGCCGCTGCTCTCTCTCCCATCGGCCTCTCTTCTTTCTCCAACTTATTCTCCGTCTCCCTCTCCTTCATTCCAACTCTCTCAATCCCTTCTTCTACGTGCAAACTCTCCTCTTTTCTCTACCTATGTGCGTGCGGTCTCCATACTCTGTTTTTCTTCCCCTTTTTTTTGTTCATCCTCGCTCCTCCTCTCTTCTTTCTGTTTTTATATATGGCAGAAAGTCTCCTCTCTTCCTCCTCCATCCCAGTCTCTTTTCCTTCCTGTGTCTTTAGCTCTCCCTTTTTTCCAGTTTCGGATCAGTCTCCTTCCTCGGTGCTTTCTCTTTTTCTCTGTCTCAGATCCATCTCTTATGCTCTCCATCTTTCTCTCCTTCATGCTGCATCTATTTTCCTTCTTTTTCCGTCTCTTGCTGCTCTATTTTTTTTTGCCCAATTTCTATTCAGGCCTTCCTCTCTCGGTCTCGTGCTCTGTTTCTCGTTTGTTTCCTTTCCATTTTCGTGCTCTGTTCAGAATGCTGTTTATGCTCTATTTTTTCTTCATTTTTCTGTCTCCATCCTTTCCGGACGTTCTCTTCTCTCTGTCTCTCCATCTCTGTTTCTCCCTCCTTCTTTCTCTTTTTTTTATAGAAAAACTCGTCTCTTGGTGCCTTCTCTTAGTCTCTATCCAGGCTTCTCGTGCTCTTTCTCCTTCTCTCTTGCCTCTGTTTTCTTTTCATTTTTCTGTCTCCTCTCAGACTTCTCTCTTCTTCCTTTGTTGTTTTTTTTCTCTTCCAGTTTTCCTCTCTTCCCTTCCAGCCTTTCTTGTTTGTTTTTTCATTCTCTTTTATGCTCTCTCGGACTCGCTCCCTCTGCTCTATTTTTTCTTTTTCTGCAATCTGTAACGTGCATCTCTTCTCTGCAAAGTGAAGCTTTTCACATGTTTTCGTTTGCTGCATGCATGCATGCGTCTCAGTTCTGTCTCTTTTCTTCTCACTTTTTCTGTGCTGTTCCATCTGCTTTCTCTGCTGTGCCGTCTCCTGCATGCGTGCGTGCATCCTTGGTTCTGTTTCTTTTCTCCTGCTAGCTGAAAGCATATGTGTACGTGTTCCGATTACTCGCTGTTCTTTCTGCTCTTTGCTTCTGGCTAATCTTGCGTATGTGCTCAATTGCTTTTCTGCATTATTTCTCTGAGTGTATCAGTTGCACCTGAACCGCATAAGGCTTGTGATGAAACGCTGATCCATCAGCGTTTCATCCAGCCTTCTTCCTTCTTCTTCTTTTTTAATTTTTTTTTAAATTAAATTAACACACACACACGGATATACATACATATAAAAAATTTCATTTTTGTTATTTTTATATTTTTTGATTATTTATTATTAAATTTAAAAAATATTCGGACAAAATACGGTGTTCACAAGATTTATAAATAAAAGTTATATACTGCACATTTGAGATTTCTAAGTGAATGAAAAATGAAAATCAATCATCCTTTCTCCATCTTTTTCTATTATTTTAATATTATTTTGTCCTAATTATTTGTCTTATATTTTGTTATTTTCATGACAGTCCAAAAGTGTTGTGAATTACTCACTAACAAGAAACATATTTTGTAGTTCCTGGTTCCCACTCTCTTATTCTCACCCTTTCAATGAAATTATTTTTTATTTCTTTAATCACATTTTCTATCCAATATAAAAATATAATTTTGTAATAAATATAAAATAAATTCCTGTAATAAATGTTTGAATGTATTTTTTTATACTAAAGTATATTTTTAGTCTTCTAATTTTATACAAAATTTTAATTTAATTTCTTAATTTTATAAAGTATATTTTTAATTCTTTAACTCTAATACCGTTTCTTCCAAATGATTATTTTTTGGGCCTATTATTATTATTTTTTAAAAAAATTAAATTTAATAAGTAAACATTTGATAGTATTTTGTCAATATTTAAAAATTTAATGTAATGGTTTTTTTTTTTGTGATGAAACTAATAGTGTTAGGTTAAATGATTGAAAATACACTTTATAAAATTAAAAAATCAAAATAAAACTTTATATAAAGCTAAATAACTAAAAGTATATTTTAATTTTATTTTTATAACCATGTAACATGGACAACTACAATTAGAAGCCAGATTCCCTTCGCTGAGGGAATCGTCATCTCAAGGATAGTGAAAATCTAGATCATATAGATTTAATATTTTTATTTATTTATTTTATAATTATTAAAATAAAAAATTTATAAAAATAAAAAAGTAATAAATTTGATAATCTAAATTTAATATAAATAATTTAAATTTAATATTAAAAATTTAATAAATTGACTATCCAAATATATTTTAAATGGTGCAGATTTAACATTATTTTTTTATAATTTTTTTATAAATTCTTAATATTAAATTTAGACTATCTATATTAAACTTATAATGTCTAAACCAGTAATTGAATTTATTAAAATTTTTTATCTATTATAAATTGACTACTTAGCTATACTTTGGATAGTGCAAATTTAGTATTAATTTTTTTATAATTTTTTTAAAAAAACTAATATTAAATTTGGATAACTTAGATTGTTCAGCGATCAGATTTATGTAATTTTTTTTATAATTTAAAATAAAAAATAAAAATATTTATATTAAACCTGAACTGTCTAAGTAAAATCTAGACAGCTCAGATCCTTTTTTGAAAGTGGAGTGGGGGGGCGGAGGAGGGATAATGTAAGAGGTGGGAAGCCGAGTGCTTACGATAATGTATATTACGAACGGTGCAGAATAACCAAATCAGATTGAACCTGAAGAAATTTGACACGTGGGACTTTGCTGGAAACCAGCGAATCAGGAGACAGGAGTAGTTTAGACCGGATATAGATTGTCAAGTACTTGAGCAAGGTCCATCAGCATCTTAGGCGACTTCTGCATATTTAAAATTATAAAATCCATGACACTTCAAAACCCTTGTGCACGTTTAATTACACAAGTGAAAAACTAACATGTTTCTTCTTTCTCTATTTCTACACTAGCGAGTCATATCACTTTTGACCGAGTCTTTTACACTATGATCGCGAAGCCAGAAACAAAGAAAAAGAAGCTAAAGCACCTTTTCAAACTTTCCTAGCCTTGTAATTTACAGAGCCTCTCAAAGATGAAGAGGAGGAGGAGGATGGGATCCCAGCAGCTTTGTCCTTGCTGAAAGCCTTCTGAACATCTTCTTTGAGCTCCATGAAACGTGCTCTCTTGATTTTCTGCTCATCTGGGGTGCCCTTCTCCAGGTAAAACAGATCAGGTAGGTCATCGTCCATGAACTTGTCAAGCACTTCCGAGCAGTGTGGAAAATACCGCCGGCCCGTCTCAACTGCCACCGTCATAAGCGCAAGAACAAAAATGGAGGAGTTATACTCAGAACACAGACTGGCCAGATAAGTGCACAAGGAAAACTAGCTTCCATCAAAACAATCAGAGTCAATGTTGGCCCTTCTTTAAATGGATCATTTTCAGCACTTGTACCCCATGGATTATGACTAAACACTAAAAGCACTATCACACAATGCTTTTGACAAAAACGGTGAGATACAATCTACCACGTTCAGGTTTAAAGTGTCTCACTCAGCTCTCAGTACGTTTTGTTTAGTCAGCACTTAACCATCATGTGGCATATTTTATATTAGTTTAAACAAACATAATCAAGTGAATGTTAAAATGTGATGAACATTTTCACAATTTTTTTGGGGGCACTGATGAACAATTTCACAATTGAAAGTATGTTCCACTTACAACTTGAACATTATCAGTCTTTTGAGCCTACTGTCAGCATTAGGGTGAAATCTTGTAATTAAAACCATCTTAATCCGAGCAACAAATTTGAAAGACTGAAAACGTTCAAGATAGATGTGAAACATACGTTTGACAACTAAGTTATTCATCATTATAAGAGAGTGGCAATTTTCATTAAAATCTGAATGTAAAATGCCAAATGGTGGTTAATTCATAGCTCAAAAAGATCGTTGAATATAAATCAAAGGGGGAGAAATGACTATGAGCCAAGCCAAAGGGAAAGCAACTTGTTATAAACCAGTTTCAGCAGCATGCTTATACGCATCTTGTTTTAAGTGATTTGAGCACTAAAAGCAGCTTCAAAATTGGACTATCAGGAGACATTCACTAAATCACAGAACTTAATCATCCTTCATCTGCGATATTCGGTATACAAAGTATGGCTGCATGGTTTCTTTAGCCTTTGCCAGTACGCGATGTGACAAGAGTATGACTAATTGTGAAGACGACAGCAAAAGGGTATGCAGGAGGTAGGATATAAAGGTAAGAGTATGCATGTGTTTGGAAAACACATGCATAAGCGTGTGTTAGAGATAGGACAACAGAATAAATTTTGATATCACGTATCTTCATCCTTTGTGGTCTTGAAGTAATAAAACCAAAGACAATCTAAAGGAGATATATTACTTGCTTAAATATGTGAGAAATAAGTGTAAATAGTAGGCTAATATATTCTTTAGTAAAACAATGCTCATTTCATTTGCTGTATTCCCTATTATAAGTATATAATATGGCACAATCCTGTCTCCTCACACCTTCCAAAGCATCAACTATATTTCTCTAGTATCATTAATACGATTACTACACAACAGATAGAAATTGCAAATTCCAAATCAAGATACCCAATAAATGGCAGCACGCAGATATTATGAACCCATTAGCATGTCAAAAGAAAACGATAAAATGAAGACAGACTCTCGCTTAACTTAAAAAAAAAGGTCGCAGAAAAAATAAAAAAATGTTAAGATTTTAGTTACCTGTTTTCATAAGGGTCTCCATCCTGGTAAGAAGTCTTCTGTTCTGCGCCAGGGGGGTCTCATTTAGATCAACCTCTCTCAAATTCCCATTTGAACCTTTTGACGCAGAAAGACCTGCAAACTGAGATGTTGTCTGAGCATGTGCAATGTCCATGGCTAATTTGGCTTCTGTAGGGAAGAACAGTCTTGCAAATGCCACTGCAATTTATAGCAATAATTATTAATTTAGAGGTTAAGGAAACAATGCATGAACAAGTGAAATTCTTAGAAAATATCATAGAAGCAAAGACTCGGAAACAATGCAAACAAAAGAACTTAACAGGAAGCATCAAGTGGCAAAGGCCTCAAAAAGAAAAAGTTCATATGCTGGCTCACGGTTTGATGCTTCATCCAAATACTTGCTTTCTTCCATAATTTGGATCTCTTGACTCAATAATTAGGCATTTTAACTAATCAAACATCGCTTCAAAAGTAATCCATATCCTCAAGGCAGAAAGCAGCAGATATTTCATAGATCATACCCCCGTGAACGTTCAATCAGGCATTCCTTTATTCAAAATTCCAAAACACCATAAAGCCAAAAAATAAATCCAAAACACCAAACCCTTTCTAGACTGTTAATCTTATCTCAGACATTCTGTGAAGCAGAAAAAATTCTCGACATTCCCATTAATTTCAATATTAATATAAAAATATAAACCTATTACAGGCCCTTTAAATCAAAATCAGTCATGATGATTTTAGTAGCTGAAAATTCGGTCTGATGGTTTAGTCAGATCAGATAGAATCCCTAAAATGAATAGTGAACTAAACTAAATCTACATATATTAACAGAAAGAATGAAACAAAACTACTTGCTCTGCAGAGTTTTAAAATAAAGGAAAAATATCCACAATAGGAAATATTGATTATTATACACTAAAAAAAATCATATCCTCAGTCACAAGCATTATGCCAGCCACTCAATGGAAAACAAATTGCAGAGTGAAACCAAAACGAGTCAGAGGAATAAAACAATGGGTACAGTACAAGGAAAAGTTTACTTTCAGGCTAGGGGAAGCAACGATGGTAGCTCAGTCAGGCTGCTGGTTTGTTCTATCAACACTAAGTACAGCCTTAAGATTGAATGATAAGGACTCTTACAAGGGGAATTTTGCACTAAGGATTTCTCTAAAAGAATCAGCGAAGCTTCAAATTCTCCATGTGAGATTGGGTGAGTGGAGACAGCTATAAAATATGCATTGGCTATTATATAAGCATGCAAATAAATATTGAACATTAAGTTTTGCACAAATTGTCAAAATAACATAGCGCTCAAAGCTCAAATGACCCCTTATAACAGTCACATGATCTAGCATTTTAATTCTGATCATTCATAACTTTAAAGGCTAAGATTTACTGCTCTCACTCTCATGATAATCTGGTGCTATCACTTTACTTTCAGTGACACTGGAGAAAACATTCATTGCCGGGAGGTTAAACCCTGGACCTAAGATGAAAACGTACAGAAGACAAAGAAAGAGTAAAAGACTATATACGTCCATGAAATTGCACCTCTGTTCTCAAGATATAGTAGCTTCATGTGCAGATCATCAGCCATTGTGTGGGAAGAAATTATGACATCCACAGCCCTTGGATTTCTCCGGACTTCCCTTTCGAGAACATCGATGCATATGCGATCTTTGTTTGTTTCTTTACCCTGCTCTGTTTTTGCATGATAGTCTTTTGGTCTTGTTAGCCTCCTGCAGATGCTAACAGCACTTTGACCATCAAAAGTCACCTCTGACGCACAAGCCCCCTTTGTTAGAAGGGAAACTATAATTGAAGGCTCCTTACGCATGGCAGCAATGTGAAGCACAGTGTAGCCCCGAGAATTCCGAAGATTGACATCAGCCATCCCCAGACCTAGGACCTCAGAAACAACCTTAGGATCACAGTAGGCTGCAGCATAGTGAAGAGCATTGGCTTCATCCAATGTTATATCTGATTCAGTTAAAAGTAGTTTAACAAGCTCAACGTCATCAGAGTCTAGTGCCTTGTGTATTCTAGTGATTCTCTTCTGACGTACTGGATCATCAACTACAGAGGTGTTATTTTCAATGTCTTGATGGTAGTTGCCGCGGAGCAGTTTAACTTTATTTGCAAGTTCAAAGGGAAGCTCTTTCTCAATTGAGATTTGATCAAGGTTTGATCGTGCTACCCTATCAACACATTGAGCAACAAGCGGACTCAATTGACAATGGAAAGCAACAGTGAGTATTGGGATGACATCTTCCACAAAAGCCTTCCCTACAAAATTAAGGAGGCGCCGCTGCAAGAATTTAAGGAATTATATTAGTTTCAGATCATTCATCCCAGCCAAACACGAAACTGAAAGTAATTGAGATTTCAAACTAGTTTGCTATCAATATTCCCAGTATTGGCCCTCAATCAAAGTCCATAGTATTCTGTGTTTTAAAATGAACTGGGCAAACCTACAATTTCATTTGAACACTACTACTTGTTTAGCTTGATGGATGCCATTTCTATGAGTTCTAGTGAGTTCACAGAATTTAGGAGTAGCATAGTCTGAGGTTGATCCAATGCATGTGTCTGGTTCTCTGGTGGAATACAGGCTGTAAGCTACGTGAACTATAAGTTAATTGTCATGAGGCATATAAACGAAATTTTGAAGAAGGGCTACTTATTATGGCCAGTTCCATCAGTAAGTTAGGTGAAAATTAGGTGAAAGGGTAACCTAATTGACAATTCTAGATTGTAGCTCTAATTCCTATCCTTAACTCCCAGCAATATATGTAATAGAATAGATGATCCTCCTGAGTTCATTATTCTGCCATAATCATGTGAAAAAATGAATCTTAATTTAGTTGCAAAGCAGAGATAATCTTAATTTACAAAGATAGTTTGCTGTTACAGATATATGACAATTGGAGAAAAGAATTACACATATACCAACAGAAAAAATTGTATCAGCGCATCACACAGAAACTTCTCCCTCGTCAAACTATTCAAAAGTTAAATCTCAAGGTTTCTAGTTAGATGATATAAGCAAAGCAGTATTCTCTGTGTCATCCATCACACTACATAGAATATATACCTGAAAAAGTGATACCAATTCTGGTATTTCAAAGATGGAAGAGGCGTACATCAACTCCACAGCAAAATTTATTGCTGGCCTACAAGCATCATGTACGCAAACATTATCAACACAAGTTGACACTTCCATTGGAGAGGGCCTGAGTTTTCCCGTATAAATATAGCCCAAGAATATGCGAAAGGCTTCAAGTCCCACGTTGCCATACGGCAACAAATCATTCATGCAATACTTCAATTTTCCTTCTTTCTGTGAAGATCCTTTATCTTTCTTGAATAATTCGTGGAAAAACTTGCTTCTAGATGCTAGAATGCATCGATGAACACCAACCGTTTCTCCTTCAACAAAGATGTCAGCATCACTAAAATCAGTATCAGACTCAACCAAAAGCTGCTCCAAACTTGAGCTAAGTTTACTCAAGCTGATCACTTCAAGGTTGGGTAAAGGTTCAGAGCCGTGAGAAGAGCACATGTTGTGGCTAACAGAGCCATTTGATAAATGGGAAGATGAGGTAAAGCTTAAAGATGATGAAGGTTCTGCTGAATACGCCATCAATCAACTCGAGAACTTAAGTAAACCTAGAATATATGTGTGGAAACCATGGCTCACAGAACATCTAACTTCATGGTGCTCCACAGTTTCCAGTTAGATTCCCCAAAAGTTTTTAATCACCAAAAGACAGGATCCCTAACAAATAGGATTTGTGATATATATTGATGATTAAGATCCTATTGACTTTACCGGCAAAGACCCAAGAACAAGGATCAACCTAAAATTGAAAAGTAAAACAAAATACTATAAACATAAGTTACAGATTTTCACAAAAAAGAAGCGCTAAACTGGGGAAAAAAATTCAGATGCAAAATCCTATGGGGGAAAAATACATGGCACCGACTGATTAGAACACTTGTCAATCAACAAATCCCAGCTTGTAACGTTAAAAAGGGTAAGGAACATCCGCCCCACCAACCAAATATACCAAAACTTCCACCTTGAATCGCTCAATTCTCATTATTTCGCCTTCTCATGTCCCAAACGGTCTGAAGGCGCACCAACCAAACTCCTGACTGGTTCCATCAGATCCATTCAGAACCCAAAAACCCCATAAACTCTAACAACCCAGAAATTTCTAAGAAAGGAAAAAACCCAGATGGATCAAAGTACAAGATTCGAATCAGAGACAAGCAAGCACAGATTCTGGGGAAGTTTCCCAGGCGGAAGAGAAGAGGAAGCAGAGGGTCAGAGCAAAAGAGTCACGATAAGATCACCAGGCTGTGTCAAAAGAGCAATGAAACATTATGTCGGAAGCTTCGTATTTCGTTTTCAGAGGAACATAAATCACAGGCAGATGGGAGAGAGAGGCGTAAAGAGGGTGTGTCGTGAAGAGATGAAGTCGTTTTGGTGACGAGAGAGATGGCATCAGCGACCCCAGCTGGGTTTTGCTTGCGTTGCGAGTGGCGTCAGCAATATTGGAGAGACGCGAGAGATGGAAATCAAAGTTTTGGGCATCTTTTGACGAAATTATCGGCAAATGGCACCGCATCGCTTTCACATTGCATGAGCCATCATTTTCGTATGGGCCTCCATTATTAATTATACATTACTAAATTATTATCTAACCACATATTTGTCGATGCTCTGAAATGAGGAGGACCTAGACACGGTGAATAAAACGTGAGTGTAACTACAGATGCAAAATCCAGGAATCTCTTATTATTATTTCTTATTATAATAAGACGTGTATATGTTGAATGAATTAAATTCTAAAATTATTGTATTTAATTTTATTAACATCTACTATTTAAAATTAAATAATAATATTTAATGCTTGCATTTAATATTTGATTGAGTTACGAACAAGATGTGCTCAACAAAAAAATTCTAAAATATTGTATTTAATTTTATTGACACGTACTACATAAAAATAAAAAAATAACTGAATTTGTTGGGCACCCGAGCAAAGGATTCTCTCCTATTACTTCCATCTTTTTCCGCTCATCTTCCTAATTTCCTTGTTTTTTTTCCTTTTTTTGTTATCCAATGTATACCAATAACCGATCAATTGTGAGATTAATCTCTCAACAAAATTAAATATTATTTAGAGGGTTGCCTTCTTTTAAGTGATGCTTTTTCATCTTCTTAATTTTTAATCATTATATCAAGATTATTGGACAATCCAAACTTGATCTCTTATAAAATATTTTATTTTGCTTTATTTTTACTTTCTTATAAAATATTTTACTTTGCTTTATTTTTACTGCATTATTAATTGTTAATATTAAATGTTACTTGTTTGAAATTTATTATTTATATTTTATAATTTAACATTTAATAATAATTCTATAAGAGATCAAACGTAAATCATCTTAAAAAAGAAAGGAAAAGGATGAGAAAGGAGAGGGAATTTAAAAAATTGCTGACAAAGACCGCTGTCCCAAATTAATAGCCGTCAACAATTAGTTAACTTTAAAATTACATTATAATCTCTTACTCCCTCATTTAAAAAATATAAAACATTTTAAATTAAATCTCACCTCTCAATAAAATAGTTATCTACTTTTAAACTAACTCTATTTTTTTATATTTACTCATATTAAACACCCAACAATAAATATAAAATCATTCATCAATAGGGATATTTTAAAAAAAAAATACATGATTATATTTCAAAAGACTAATAATACCTTACATTTGTTAACATCCAACTCCTCAAAAAATATCTTATATTTTTTAAATGAAGGAAGAAATTCTTAGCTTGTTGTTTGTAGATTTTTTCCATTAAATTTGTGTTCTTAATTTGGTCTTTTGACTTAAGAAAATAATATCAAATTATTAGTCAAGGTTCAAAGGATTGAAGTGCAATTTTAAAGTGAATTAGCTATTGATTGATATTAATTTGGTATAGTAGTTCTTAGCTGCTATTTTTCCAAGAATCTTCTTTAGAACAGGACCAACAAGAGCATTTACAATATATAATTCTATGCAGAATAATTTTAACACGTGGAAATCAACTTCTCAAAGCCTTTTGTATTATTTATATGTATCCTCTAAGTGTGAGCAATATTGTCTGAGATAAGAATGCACATTAAATGTAAGCATTTTTTTTATTAGATCAAACTCATGTTAATGCTTTTTTTTATTTTTTACCCTCGGTGAAACTAACCCCTGTTGATTCAAAGCTATAGTAACTCGCCAATTGTCGTAGAAAGCCCATAGGGTGTCTCCAGTCTCGCTCAGATTAGTTCCACCTTTATCCATTTGCAGCTCGTGTGTGGAGAAATTGTGTGGATCACGCTCGTCTGAAAGAAGATGGAATATTTGAGATTTGTTGTACGAGTGCAAAGCATCAGTTTATGCCTTATATGGGCAATGGCCACAGCTCTTCTTAAAAGGGAGAAAAAAGCTCATACGAAGACTACGATGGAGGATTTTAGGAAAAGTGAATTTAAACCCCATAAAGCGAGCAGAATTTTAATAAAAAAAAATAATCATCCAGTGTTTTAAGTTTTAGTTGATTGTAATTTAATCTCTCAATTTTAATTTGATTTAATTTAATTTTTATAAGTTTAACTTGATTAAACCTCAGTCTCTTGATTTCAGTTCATTGCACCTTATTCCTTATAATTTTACCAATTTAAAAGTATTAGTCACTGAATTTTAAAAAAAAAAACATTGGTCCTTATGATTTTACTTTCTAAAAATTAAGGGATAAATATTTTAAATTATTAAAACTATAGCAAGTGAGTTATCTTAAATTGATTGGATGCACTATATCATCTGTAATCATCTCCAATAAAAACATGACATTCAAATGATATTAAATATAAATTAATTATAATAAATAAAAAAATGAAAGAAATTAAATAAAAATTTTATTATAAAAATAATATAATTAAAAATGATAATACATAATATTTTATTTAATTGAATTGATATAATTTTATTAAATGAATTATAAATGGTGTGGTACATCAGATTCATTTAAAATTTTTTTTATATCAACTTAAAATTTAAGAACTGAATTTTAACTTCATAAATTAAGTTATATTGAGTTAAAAATCATGGATTAATTTTTAACTAAATCAAAATTATATGGTCGCATGATTGATTTTTTTTAATGCTAAAATATGAAATTATATTTATAGGTAATGTAACGCGCAGATGACAATTATGGGGGCATTAATGGCAAGGCCTGACGTGGTCGTTAAATTTATAGAACGTGGCCCACTACCCGCGTCTTGAAAGCATAGCCTAGTGGCCTGAACAACTGGATAGATTTGTAGCAGTTGCACCGTCACACTCATTGGATTTCAACGTGTCCCTGACTCTGGAACTGGAATTAATATTATAGCTTTCCTGCACTTAACTTCTAACTTTTTTTTTTTAACACCATTCACTTAATTTTTTTTTTACCTTTTGATTCTTATATTTTTTTATTTTAAATTTTTAAATTTTTATTTTCAGGGGAATTACATTCAATCTCCCTTGAAAAATTAATTATAGATAAGAATAGCAATAAATCTCATTTAAGAAAAAATAAATCATGTTCTTATTTTAATAATAATTCATTTTGCATTGGTCCTTATTTATAATTAATTTTCTTATAGAGGCTGGATGTGATTCTCCTTTTATTTTTCAACGTGTTAGGTTTCTTTAAGATTCCTACACTTTATTCATAAAAGTACCTAAAATATTTAAAAAATAAAAGTGCAGAAACCTAAAATGTCAAAAAAATATAGGGATCAATAGCATAATACGAATAAAATGCAATGACCTAATATTATATTTTTTCTTTTTGAATTTTTTGTGCTCAAATTATTTTTTAATATCGACACAATATCAGTTTTCTATAATAAATTAATTGCTCTAGGTCATTCTTTAAATTTTAAACACCTCATCAACATTACTATTCATTTAATTTAATATCTCACTCAATATCACGCATAAGTATACTCCCTTTGACAATAATATAGATCATATTCTAAAAACCTTACTTCATCTTAAATATAAAGAATTAAAAAACTTTTATAATTTTATAATTGATTTTTCAATTATACTTTTACTTCATTTATTACTCTTAAAAAAAAAACTCCGCCTATATTTATAACCGGTCCCAAGCCTGGGTAAAGGATGAGGGTTGTGTTAGACCATCAACAGCCAATGTAAAACTTTGTTGAATCTATCATGAACATGGACAATAGACGTTATAATGTTAATGCTAGGTCGTTGCCCATAAGTAACGCACTGCATGGCTCAAGTACAGTGATAAGTGAGTTAGAGCTGTTGCGTCGGCGCCCGGATGTAGTGTTAAATGAGCAAGGGCTACTGCGTCATTCTGGACGTACGCGGCTAAAGAAGTTAGTCCATGAGAGCAAAATTAGATTTAGTATTTGGAATGTTGAGACATTGAATTGTAAATCTGTAGAGGTTGTAGGGGTTATAATTCAAAGGAAAATCAATATCCTTTGCCTGCAAGAAACAAAATAGCGTGGAGAAGAAGCTAAGGATATTCAAGGTTTCAAACTTTGGTATACATGAAAAGTAAGTGCACGCAATGGAGTAGGCATCATTATAGATAAGGAGTGTAAGAAGAACGTTGTAGAAGTTAGCAGAAATGATAATTGGACGTGAGACTGTTAATATTGTTAGCGCTTATGCACCGCAAGTCGGGACAGAAGCCAGTTTTAAGGAATTATTTTGGGAGGATCTGGAGGGGTTGATTCGACACATACCACAGAGTAAAAAGATTTTTATTGGAGGAGACTTTAATGGGCATGTCGGGAGGGAAGCTGGTCAATATGCGAGGGTGCATGGTGGTTTTGGTTTTGGAGAGCTAAACAATGAAAGACAAACTCTTCTTGATTTCTCATTGGCGTATGATTTTAAGATTGCCAATGTAACACACTAAATTTTTTTTTTAAAATAATTTAACTCAACCATAGTTGGGTTACAGCCACCCAACACATTTTTATATCAATAATTTTAATATAAAAATATTTTATAATTGGCTTTAACTCACACAATATAACATTTCAGATAAATTTTTACCTCCCACATGCCATTAAGCTAAATCACAATTGTCTATTCTTATACTCCCAACAAGTAAACTAAATCACATTTGTCCATCCTTATACTCCCAACAAGTAAAATAAGCAATTTAGTCAATTTTCAACACAAGCCAGTTATTTGGCCTTATAACTTTGCCATTTTAACCAATCCAAAGTAAACCAAATATTAAAATTACAGTCATTCAAATTGTACCAAAAATAGAAATAATTTGAAAGGCATGATTACATTTATATATTCATATAATTGACAATAAACAAAAAGCCATAATATTGGCAATATAACACATTATA